TCTTCGTCAAATCTTTATAGATTTTAAAAACCTTCATCATCATTTAACATATAATGGGAACAATAAAAGATTTGTCTTCAATCTCTGAAGATAATTTTCTTCAAGTAATTTTTAAAATCAATAATAATTTTTCTCAATTGATAATTCTTCTTTTTTCTTTAGTTACTTCGAGATATTCTTGATCAATATTTCGATCGTCTTCCATCATCAAAACAAACACTTGACATTGATCCACAAACTCGCAAACAAGTTGAACAACTTCTTCGAAGTACAAATCCATCATCAAATAAAGTGATATATCAATAATAATTAATCGATTTTTATTTTATTTTTATTTTTACAGATATCCACAAATGATTTACCTGAACATTTACAAAAACTTTATTTAAATTTTGTAAATGATTATCGACGTGATATTGAACGATATCATATTCAACATTCTAGTCAATATATAGATGAATATCGTTTGAAAAATTTTGATTGGAATATTCGAGTATAAAACTAAAAAAAATACTAGTTTTATTATTGATAATAACAAATTTTTATTTAGATTGCTCTTCACGATGAACATTTATTTAAATGTCGTTTACCACTTGTTAATCTTGATTTAGAATTAACAAATGAAAAAGATTCGAAAAATATTCTTCTTGAACTAAATGAACAAGAATTAAACCGATTAATTGATGAAATGACTAAAATTGAACAGGTAATAACACTAAAAATAAATCATAATTTTTATTTATAAATCAATTTTTATTTAGGCTATGAATAATACCAATGTTCTTCTTACACAGTGATTCTTTTATAGTTTATATTTTTATTTTTATAGTGCAATAAAACAATATCTTCATTGATTTTTTAAAAGATTAAATTCTGTAATTATTAAAACATTGGTTTATAGTTTCAAATAAAATATCAAAGAAAAACGAAAATAATATTTAGAAATAAAAATCTAAAGATAAATAATTGTTAAAGCTGTTGTACTTTGATAAGATGATACGATTCGTCTTAGAACAGAATTTAAAATTTTCATCAATGTGTGAGAGTTGATTACAATTCTAATTTGCATCTGAGTGCATAGTTTATTTTTAGTTATGAATCTATCTACATCATATTTTCAAGTATTCATACAAAAGTTTTCTACGAAAAGAATTTATTTTAAAAACTAAATATTTATCTTTATTTACACAATACATATAACGCTAAAAATTATAAAAAAAAATGTCTTTTAAAACATTTCTTGTCTATATTCGAATAAATGCAAACAAAAAAAATTACATTTTATCATTCTGTTTTTTTAGTTTGTCCAATATCTTCTGTATGTATGGATGGATTAACTTCTGCATGAAAACTTTCTTTAACAAATGTTTCTTCGAGACTATCACTTAAAGTTGGTTTTCGTTCAGGATACGTGTTTAACTCTGTTTTAAGTACAAAATTTCCATCATTATTATCTCTTTCCAAAATACAATAACCACAATTATCAAAGTTTTCTAATGTATGAAACTTTTCTACAGACCATCGATAAAAACGCATCAAAAACAATCTCATAAATAATCCATGACTAACGATAATAATATTATTATTTGGCATTAAATAATTATCCATTTCTCGATTCAAACTATTTATAAATGAACTAACACGATTATAAACATCTGCACCGGATTCTCCATTTCTAAATCGATAAAAAAATCGTCCAATTTTTTTTCTTTCCAGTACTGTTGTTTCATGTGAGCCAATATCTTGAAAATTTCCCCTAGAAATAAATCAAAAATCATACAGAATACGAAAATCATTTGTTAATTTTACCATTCTTGTTCTCTTATACGTGGATCTTCACGTATCTTTAAGATATTCTCTTGAGAAAACGCTTGACACATCAATTTACATGTCTCCTTTGACCGACGAAATGGACTAACAAAACACATGATTGTTTCATTAGGTCCAATAAGTTTTTTTAGTTCTTCTCCACAATGACGTGCTTGTTCTTGTCCAGTTTCAGTTAAAC